CCCTTGTGCAAGAATCAATGAAATATCTCATCTCTGCTTTCCACTGCTCCTTAACCCCTCTTCCCCCCTCTACCTATATACACTACTAATTAACTTGCATAATAATTTATTTAGCCATAGGTAATTTAACCAAAACTGTATAAGGTCACTTTAAAGTGAGGCCTGTCATGGAGAAAATAGCTTTCATGGCTATGTGAATCGAAGTATGAATTACCTGCTTATGCGTAGCTCACCTTACCATTTGGAGACAGGACCCCCCACATGAATTATCATAAAACTTATAACAAGACAAAAGATTTTAAAAATAGATAACCAAGGACATACTTCTTTTCTTCGTACTGAGCCCAGGTGCGTTACAGCGTAATAATTTGTTTTACTCCCCAATCTCTGGTGGTTCAGTGGGGATATGATCTATGGTGGTCCCAGATTGCTGTTGACCGCATATCTGGGAAGCATGTTGTCACATGCTCATCCTATGTGGTGGTCATTGATTGAGTATTGTCACAGTAACTGGGTGGCAGTGCTCTGACTCTGGGACCACCATGGAGCACTTACCAAGGGCTCCATCACAAATTTTAATAGCTATTTAATATTTTTCTAGAATGGTAATGTATTAAATAATGATTTTGTGACTGCTGTGACCCCACTAGTTCTGCCAGTGCTTTAGAAGCAGAGGCAGAAAGTAGTGCCCGGCAGATCCCAGGTAAGATTTCAATCATTCATAAATGTTTGACTTCTTTCATAGGGGTAGGGGGTGCCAGGGCACTCCTGGCACCATAACCACAACAGTGAGCTCTAGTGATTATGGTGTTTTAGAGTGTTCCTTTAAATATTTTGTTACCTGAATAAGCAACCATATGTTATTCTTCTTTTTAGCCTTTACAAAGATAAATCTAGAACATAGAAATCTAGAATATTGTATTTATATTTAAAAACGAAATATAGACAACGTATAATTAATTCCCTAAATGTGTAAAAACTCTATACATGATATAAAGTGCAATAAGCAATGATCACTCAGTAGTTATGAATTGTAAAATCTCTTTTTTTAGTCTTAGCCACTAGAGTACGAACACTACAAAACAACATGCCAGCATTCAGTTACATAGCTGAAAAGAGACTTGCGACCATCAAGTTCAGCTTTTCTCACATATGTTTTTGCTGTTGATCCAAACAGACAAACAAATGTATATCACAATGAATCTTGTACTTTTCAGCTGCTCAGATCCAGCTCTGTAATGAAGGAGATATTACTTACATTCCTTGACATTTGGTGGAGCTAGTGAGCACGCATGGCAAACCATCCCGTATATATTTTGTGGGCGGTTTTCCAACATGTAGAACCTGATATCAATGAGACAAAGTGGCACTTTAGAAAGGAACATTTTACACAATATACATTTCAGGAACAAATTATTAAAAATTCTAAAATGTATTCAATTTCCAATTGAATGCTCTGGGAACCAATTTTTAAGTGACACTTCAAATAATTGATCCACAATTATTTGAAGTGTCACTTAAAAATTGGTTCCCAGAGCATTCAATTGGAAATAAAATGATGAACAAAGAACTAAACACAAATAAAATTGTATCAATACAACTAGTTTTTCATGCAATATGCACAGAATTTGGGACTCCAACCCTTGTGTAAAACGCCCTAAACATTTAGACATATTACCATACCTAACAGTACAGAACTAACAAACGTGGTAATATTCACTTGGAACTTGGTGTCTTTCTTTATAGCTAAAATACATTCATCATTGCCCCGATTGCTCGCAATGTGGGTGTAAATCATAATATATGAATCATATCTTGTCTTGTGAGTTTGGGAGCTAGACATATTGGCATATTGTAAAGGTTATATAATGTTAAATATTTATAATCAATCCCATTTAAGAAATCCTTTAACACGATTAAGTCTGTGGTCATTTGCCATGTTTCACTAGGAGTTAAAATAATTTTTTTAAGTGATTGGAGATGCTTACAATGATAGATTTATGGTGTGGTAGAACTAAAATAATGTCTGCAAAATGTTGACAGCTATACCCTGCAAACACATTACACATCTTATCCCAGAACTCACAGCTTATCATATTATTAGATATAATATAGATATAATATCAAAGAGCTCAACTTTTGGGGTGCAGACAAACATTTATCTTGCAAGTAAGAAATTGTACTTTTGCCTGCTGTTAAGATATTTGTCATCGTTGCCAGCTTACTGTTGGCTCCGATTGTTGCTATTTGTTAAATTGCACCTAAACCAATTCATTTTGTTAATTCTAGGAGCTATGCACATTATAAAGAATTATATAGTCTTACCCAGGAAGGCAGGACCCACACTCTGCATCATTCTTATCGTCCCCAGGAATAAGAACCGTGGCTCGGTAAAATCCTTCACAGTCCTTGTGTCGTCTACATATCTGGTATCCTCCTTTGGAATATTTGCCACGCGGACAAGGAACGCAGCTATAGCCTTCTTCCTTAATGCCATATCCACAGTTCTACAATGGCAAGGATATTTAAACTGATTGATGAAAACTAAACTGTATTAACAACATTGAATCCATGTTTGGAACTAGAATCCTGATTGGTTTGCTCAAGAATATAAAGGCAGAGTAAGAGCTTGTAATGTGGTGAACACATTTCCCATGAAACATTACTTGCTAGTCGTTATGCTTCTAATTCTTCTGTACATCTCACTTTCAAAACACTTAGTATGTTAGACATTGCAAACTAATTAAAGGATTACTCCAGGCACCATGACCACTTCAGTAATTTGAAGTGGTCATGGTGCCTGGGGTCTGTATGTGCAGCCTTTCGCTTTGAAATGCCACACATACAGAGTTTAACCCATCACTGGGGGATCCATACCAGGATATTCCACTCCTGGCTTCATAACCATTACAGGTAGCCTTAGTGGTCATGAAAAACTAACTCTGGACTTACCAAACCCTTTGTCTCTAGAGTGAGCCTGAAATGAAACATTTTACTGTAGTCTTCCATCTTTAAATATTTGTAAATAAATTTGCTAGTTTAGTGTGTGCCATTTGCATACGTCTGTAATGAACATGTGATATTGGAGATGATACATTTAATATTTTATATTACAGTGTACAATAATGGAGACTAATAATAAACTAATATATAATGTGCCCCCTCTCCCACTCCCTTTAAATGGTATATTTATGACATCTTAGTTGCTGATGACTTTAGTAAAAGTTGGCCTGATTCAGTAGAGATTGGTCTTTAGCTGCAGAATCGGTGCTGCTCCCCAGTTTTTGTTGCAATAAAACACAAAATCAATGACTTATGATAAGTGTGTGTGTTGGAAAAACCCATTGTATCTATAATGAATAGTTCCGCAATTTATTGAACCTGGTTTGATGGGGCAGAGTCCATTTCTGGGTCTAGAGTCTAGTGCCTCACCCTCTTTAAACTTAACCCGCCGCCACTGACCTGATTCTATGTTTCACAATCTATAAATGCAAAATCCTTGTAATCAGCAGTATAAGGCTCTTTAGCTCCTCTTGGATAATATGAGCCAACTTCTAATAAATAACATATCAGCAGTGGTAAAAGTAATATCAGACAGGAAACAAATTTTACCAACCCATAAAACCATAGGCTATGAGGCTGTATCTGTACAATACTGATCAATCTATGTATGTATATTAAGAGGAATGCAACCCCTATTGAAACAAGATGCACCACAATTCAAACATGCACATCTGGAATACTAAACATTAAAATATAATAAAGATATTTTTGAGATGGAAACATATTGTCCGCTATTGTGCTCTTGTAGCTGAAATTAACAATGTCATATTTAGTGGATGATACTTTAAAAAAAAATAAGAAAATAGTGCTTCTTTGGTGAACTAGTTTGGGAAGTAGGGAAATAATTTTGTATCAATGATGCTTTTGATAAACATGTTACTCCAAAGTTTAGAACACAATTTGATAGCATATAGGATCTGAAATGTCCATCCTCTTAAACAGGTTTTCTTCAGAAATAAAAGGGATAAACGCTATCCTATTGAAATATTTGGGACAAATTCAGTGTATAGCGTAATATGTTTGCAAGAAAATACTATAAGCATTATTATAAGATAATTATCAATGTGCAACAGTTAGTGGTTGCATGCCACCCCTACTGGAGGGGTAGGCAACTTAAGCACTCCAGATGTTGTGGACTACATCTCCCATAATGCTCTTGCAGGCATAATGCTGGCAACACATCAAGGGAGATGTAGTCCACAATATCTGGCATGCTGAAAGTTGTCTCCTTCTGCCCTAGGGCATGGTTACTTACCAAGAATGGTTCATGGCCTGGCTCACACTCCTCACAGCTGTGACATTCACCAGTTGTCTGGTTATAATATTCATTTTCACCACAGTTTGCATAATCTGCTTGAGCTGAATATACCAGGGAAACCTAGAGGAAGGGGAGATACAGGGAAATTAATGCACTTGGTATCATGTCACAAGTCAGATGGAATGATAGCACCTTCTGTCAGTTATGCTTGCCAACTTTGGTCCAGTACATTATCAGGGTTATTCAATAATGTGAGATTTTAAAGGGAATTTCACGTTTAAGGTAAAAGTAGCCAAAATGGAAAATGTCTCTGAGCCAACTAAGCTTCCAGTTCATCTTCTTTGGCCTTGAATTTGAAATTCACAATAAAGCACACATATCACTTGACAGTTACCCAAGAGAGTGAAAAGTAGTAATAGTGTTGTCATAAGTGTCCATTATGAACAGGGCCTTGTTTACTTCTATTTTTATGTGCACATTAAGTTGTAATCTATTTGCTGTTTAAGGCTAAAGAATAGTTTGGTACTTATAGCACCAATCTAATGGAATTCAAGTAAGGAACTGCACTCATCCAGCCATACAACCTAAGTGCAACTGAAACTAGGGCCAGCACCAAGACCCACAATATTGTTTGTAGTTAATAGAAGAGAAGATGGTCTAGGCACTACCAAGGTTTTGAAAGGCAAATTTATTGGAACCCAAGTGTCCCGCAGTAATGTTTCAACCAAACTTATATATTGTATTTAATATATAAATATTTGGTTGAAACGTTGCTGCTGGACACTTGGGTTCCAATACATTTGCCTTTCTAAGCCATGGTAGTGTCTGGACCATCTTCTCTTCTATTGGCTATAAAAATTACAATAGGCAGAAAGGTCAATGCCTGCCCACTGAGACCAGCCCAGCTAGAGGAATACAGTTGCTGACTTGACCCATTTTCTGTGCACCAATCTCTAGGGTGGCAAACAAACAATTCTGTGGTACATCCTGTTCCTATGAATAGAATTGTCAAGGTCTCCTTTTATTAAAATGAAGGGGCCAATACTAAACCATAAAAAATAGCCCACACCATTATTCTTCCTTAGTCAAAATTTGGGATTAGCCATATGTTATCAGGCCAGTAGCATTTGTTTGGGATCTCGCAGACCAGGAGTCATCTATTGGACTGACAGAAAAGCAGTGTTTATCACTCCATAGAGTAAACGTGCATAGTTCACTGGTATGCCCTTCAGACATTTGGCTTAGTACAGATGATTTAACATGGCACCTGCCTCAGCATTTGACAACCTAGTTCTGAAAGCTGTGTGTTGCTCACCACTTACTATTGACTGGGGCAGCTTCAGCAGATATTCCTGAAAATGAGCTGTTTGGTAAAAGGTGCTATCCTATGACAAGGCTGGGTTGAATGTCACAGAATTTGCATGGACCACTCTCCTGCTAAGTTTGTCTCCTGAGATTGTGCTTGGTTTTATACACTTGTCTGAAATGGTTGTGGCTTCAATAGCATAATAAAGACTTCAATTTAATATTTTTGTGCAAACATTTCCATTATTTTAATACTTTTGAACACATGTATTATTTTGAAATATTTATTGAATTGTTTTTCTTTATAGTTATATTTCTAGATATGATAGAATTTTTGATATTTTAATATTTCGAAAAAAATATCCCAAAAATATGAAACTATTTGAAAAGCTTTTTGACCATGTTGTGTAGGTAGTGTTTACATTTTTATCTTTTCAATATATATATATTTATTTATTTTTTTTCTCTGCTTTTAAATCACACATATTTTTCATAACCAGATTTTCTTTCTGACAGTGTGAGTATTGGTAGTTTATTAACCTGTAATACATGATTTGTTTTAAAGGATTATTACATTTCACGAAAATGATCTCTTAATGCTTTCTAGTTTCCCACATTTACAGCACACAAGTTTACAAGTGCTCAGTTCTGAGACAGAATTAAATATGTCTTACTTTACCTGTGAACTTGATTTCTAGACTATACTTGGTTATATATTGTTTTAATAAAAGTAAAAAAATACTTACAACAATAAATGGGAATATACGAGTCCATTTTCTGCCACCCTGATGACTCATGCTCCTTTTCTACTTTAAACCTGAGGAAATAAACAATGATAACAGAATTAAAACAAACATGGTGTCCATAGAATACATTCATTTATAGACACGTTTCCAGTTTTACAAAATCTACAAAATACCTGAACTAAACAACTGTACCTTGAAAGGTTTATTTTAGATGTTTTGCTACAAAGCTTTCATATAATACAGGTCTAGCTGGCTAACTGAACTATGAACTATCTTGTGAATGTATTTTAAAGGCAATAGCATTCTTGACGAAGACCTATTTGGTTATAAAAGCTTGTGCTCTAAACAATCTTAGTTAGCCAACACATATATCATTTTTATTTAACTTGTTTCTCATATAAAAGACATGGTCCACCTCTAAGTAAATTTACCCATACACAAAGATGCTTGACATTCATTATCATGTGTCTAACATCAGCTCTTACTATGCCAAATGATTGGGAAATTCAAAATCATTTTCTCCTAAGGAACAGAGCAAACTAAATAATACAATATTTAATTAAGTAGTTTAACATGGGCGCTGGAAATTAAAATGTAACGATAAGTAACATTATGCATCTAATTACATTCTGTCAACAACAAAAGACAAGCATTAATCAGATTCTTTATACTTCAGATTACTTTGTGTTATCATTATTATTGTTATTATTAAAGGAACACTATAGGGTCAGGAACACAAACATGTATTCCTGACCCTATAGTGTTTAACCCACCATTTAGGTAGCTTGCCCCCCCCCCCACCCCTCCTATAAAAGTTTAAAACTCACCTTATTTCCAGCACTGCGCAGGTCTGCCGGGGCTGGCTTCGCCCCCTTTGTGACATCAAAATGGCAGATTTTAGCCAATCCAATGCTTTTCCATAGGAAAGCATTGGATTGGCTAAAATTGGCACGGGGGCGGGACCAAATGCCGTTTTGGCCAATCAGGACCTCCTCATAGAGATACATTGAATCAATGCATCTCTATGAGGAAAATTCAGCATTTCCATGCAGAGGGTGGGGACGCTGAACGTCAGGGCTGCTTTTTCAGGAGCACTGACCCAGGAAGCACCTCCAGTGGCAATCTAAGGAGTGGGCACTTGAAGGTGTCCCTAGAGGCAATGTAAACACTGCCTTTTCCATGAAAAGGCAGTGTTTGCATGAAAAAAGCCTGAAGGGAGCTGTTATACTCACCAGCACAACTACATTAAGCTGTAGTTGTTCTGGTGACTATAGTGTCCATTTAATATGATGATGTTGGGGCCCCACGAGATAGAATCAAAGCAGGGACCCATCAGAAATACAGGTGGGTGAAATGACAATGTATTAAATAACGATTTTGCAAGGGGGGACCCAAAATTTGCTAGGGCCCTCACCTTGGGAGACAGATCTCCAGTGCACAGGCACAATTGCAGCTCTTGCAACCCTGATTGTTCCAGTACTGGTATAATGTTTACTGTACTGTGCTGAATAGCAACTCCTGCATTGATGTATATGGGAAAATTACGATTCAGTAACCTAAGTAAACCTTACACTTCTAAGACAGTCCAGCCTATAGTTTTCATGCCATCAATTGAGCAGTCCCATGTGTTTAAGAGAAACAAAATAGATCATGCAAACTACTTAGCATATTATGCAAATTAACATTTTAATAAAGCCGAGTGCCTCACATAGGTATTAAAACCTTACATTACGTTAGTTAGAATGTCACTTTGCATGTTTTTTTTGAATAATTAACATTTTTATTACTCTATTCCCCTCTTGTTTTTAAATTGTTTTTAATATTCAACATAGTTTTTTAGTTATACATAAGGCAGGAACTACTTTTTCTTATGGAGAGCATGATTTTTGGCAATAGGCAAAACTTAACCAAAGTTTAATTTCAGTTAATTTACCCACAGTCCATCAGTCTGTAAGTCACATGCAGGGAGGTGTTCCTAGGGATCCATAAATGGCAGAGGACTAAGCAACGAAACTACAGGTGTATGATCTATACGCCAAAACTCCTTCAAAGGGATAAAAATGTTTTGGTGACTATGTTGTCCCTTTAAGGCTAAAGTAGCCATACTAGAAACATAGCTGACTTTGTGAATTTTACCATTCAGTTTAATACTAAGAGTCCCTGTCTTCCCATAGTCACACCCCCATTTGAGGTGAGACTAAGGCAGAGATTGCACACATACTTATAGCCATACTGATTTATACTAGCAGTGGGCACCGTGATAGGCTGAATGCAGACAGCTAACACTCTTAGCCAATGACAGCCGCCCATTGCTGTTCAGGCTAAATCTTCCTCATTAGCCTCTGTCCATCTCAGCTGAGCTCTCTTGTATTGCTACCTCTGTTCTATGACCACCTGTGACTCTGCCTCTAACTCTAATCAATCTCTAACTTGCGTTTCTCCATCTATTCCACCAGCACCATTCCTGCCGTATGGTCAACTGAGGTGCAGCTGTCTGTCTTAATTCGCTCCTGCCGTGATTCACAAGGTTCCATGCACCTGTGGTTCTGTGAGTGGAGGAGGCACAGTTAAGATGCAATACCTTATTCCAGCCTTGATCAATATAGATAGTGTCTGCATTGGATCTTATTCCTTGCAGACTGAATGATCTCGGGCAGCAGCTTCTCCTCTGACTTCTCCATGTGAGACGTCTCGGGAACGGCTGCCTAGCTTCATGCTGACACTAATCTTGCTTTTCACCAACATAATAACCACACAATTATAATAATTGTGCTTGTTACCTGATGAGTGCCTATATCCCATGTGCACATTAATACAGCTGCACTAGCTCCACTGCTGGTAATTCTGCCCCTGGAAATGAGGGATATCTTGGAGGTTTATTCTTTAACAGTCGCAGACTTTTATCAACTGCTCATGTAACTTACCAAGCCAGCTAAAACATATACATCGAGTGATCTCTTTTATAAGACAGTGTATTTAGAAAGTCACTCTTAAATCGACCAAAGAAAAAAGAAGCCAAAAATGGCCTATTTTATTCTTGGCTCCCTTTCATTAGGAGACATACTGTTTTTGAGAGAACGTATAATGTACACTTGTTTGACACTGGAAGTGAAGAATATTTAATTTGGCTAAGGTCTTCACCCATCTAAGGTTGGTTACTTTGGAATGATTCCATTGGTGTGTTATTAGTCAACATTTGTTTAACTCACAACTTTACAAAAAAAGCACTGGAAAGCTATCTTGCACAACGTGATCCATTGGTGTTTATCTTTAAGCAGTACCAACGCAGTATAATTCAATATGGCTTGGTAATACATTCTGACCATCAAGTGGTTTGGGTTCATTCCATATGCCAATTATCATTCTTCAGCAAGTTGTGACTAAAAGAGCACGCAGCTCCAAGACTAGGGCCATTAAGGAAAATAATACATACATTGTTAGAAGTATTTGAATAATGCAAGGAGAAACAATTTAGGGCATGTGCACTTCTCTTAAGGAAATCAACGAGTTTCTTATTATTTCTCTGTAATCTTTGAAAGACGGTTGTAAAGTCTATGGGTTTGTGTAACAGATTGGAATAAACTATTTTATTCTGCTGTATTGGACATTTGTTTGCAACACCGTTATTTCATTTTATTATTTAACACCATGACATCTAAATATTTTTGTACTCCCTATTCCTGTCTGAAGTTGTAAATTAAATCCAAAATTATGTATGTTATAGCCAAAATCACATTTGTGAACAGTAAAAA